CCCTTATTCCCAGTCTCGTCTGATATTTAGCATATAAAGCTGCAAATATTTTATCTCTAACAGTATATAAAACAGAAGCAAGTGTTTCTGAACAGGAACATTGTTCTATAAAATGATACTGCAAAGCTAATGGCTGGTCAGAGTAAATGAAATGGTGCTATTGTCATTCAAATGAAGCCAAATCAGTCAGCAGCAACCTTGCTAGATTTTTACAGATCAAAAGAGTTTAAGAGATCATATTAAATCCAAATCTAAATGCACAATGAAATCTTCATTGCAATCTGCAGTGGGAGTATTCTCTCACCATAAATCAGCTTGCTAACCCAGATCATTTATTAAAGACTTATATTTCATATCTGCAGAGTATATCACATAACTTCTTGGCAAGGGTAATTGCATTTCTGGTAACTTAAAATTCCTCATGGAAGTTTAAATACTTCTATCAAGCAAATAAAATAGCACCAGGAATCATAGTTTCCCTGCTATAAAGTAAGTTTAGTCAGTGTTAACTCATTTCCTATAGTCCTTACTACAGTACAAGTCAATTTCAAATCATATATTGCTTTTAATGTTATTTCAGCATTTGAAATGCTGCACAGGAAATTTGACAAATTCCCTTTTAGTAAACAAATCTATTCTCCTTGGTAAAATCTCTCAAATAAATCAGCAGCTTACTAAAATAAAAACCCACCAAAGAATGTATTGGGAGCTAAAAGAAAATTTGACAAGGACTAACAGCCGTACCTTGAGAGAATCTAAGTCCTTTTTTAATATATTGTAGAAATGTACAGTTTTAAATAGTTTGCTTGCTTAGCATTTTATGTCTTGGCTTGTTCCAAAGACAAGTTTATTACTGCTATGAAATAGTTAAGAACCAAAAGATCAGAAATTAAACGCACTGAGATGGACTTGGAAATGAAAATGGGCAACCACCAATGTAAGAGCCACAAAGGGTAACCACATCTATTTTCATTTTCCCTGATTAACACCGGTGTGGTTTTAGGTTACATATTCCTGTGGTGCAAATGTCAAGTGAAGGCATCAATATGGACCTTCGAAATTTCAATGGTGGGGGTGGGAAGAAACAAAAACCAAGAACTTTAACTATTGGCCTCCCAGAATGTACTAATCAAAACTCCATTGGAGTAAAGTTTTCCTAGTTTAATCAAATGAAGTAAAATGAAACATACTCAGTTCATCCTGGGCTTTGCAAGTGATCTTGGTCCGGCTCTTCCTAATTACAGTTAGCTAGAGTTTTAAGAATCATCAGTATTTCTACAGACACAACGTTAATGTTCCTCAATACTAGATCCCGGGTGGATAGCACAGAGAAGGTATAAAATTCTATCAAGCTTTATGGAAAATCCTACTATTCACCTCACAAAGGTTATTTTAGTACAAAGAATTTAATACTGGAAATATTCCTAACTGAAGAATACATTTTTAATAAAGATAATATCATAATAGGATGAAACTTCCAAATATATAATCACAAAATGTCAAACAGGCTGTATGTGTGTGTACACACGCATGTGTTATCTATGGTTATCTATCCTTAAATTCACTACTCCCACAAACAATGATAGACGTGACAAACACTCATTCTAGTATCACTACCAAAAAATTACAGAGCATCAGCAAAGAGTCTGTACAGTCACTGCAACAATTATTCAGACAAGTTGTTTCTTCCATTAGTGTGGGTATTAACTGAATATTTAAAGAGTTGCCTTCTACAGACAGAAAATACTTCAATTAACAAAGCTCCTACAATCACAGTAGAACTAATCTTAAAAACACAAAAACCACACACACTTTGGATAATGGCCTCAAGAACATGGAATGCTGACTTCAGTGCTCCATGAGTTAGAACTTCTCCATTCACCCTATTTATAACCTTCAAAAGAAGTCCATAGAAGAACCAATGCATGTCACGGTAGTTGTGTGTTATGTACAAAACAGAAGAGGTTCTTTCTGACCCCAGTGAGTACAACTTAAAAAAATTCAAAATATTTGTTAGGGAGGTTAAGCTATACTTCAGAAATACGAGCATTTTAATAGTATAACAAAATCAAATATTTTAATAAACTTATAACCTTTCACACTGTACTGTATTAAGCATTACTAATGCTTGGCTCCTAAGTATTGATGTTTGAAACCTACATACATTTTCTGTATATGCACAACTGGAAACACTTAGAAACCTACATTGTTTTAGGCAAATTCCAGTTGACTAAAAATGGGTTGAACTTCCGTCACATGATAAATAAAACCCCTTTCTTAAACACAACTTCAAGCATGTAAGGATATGATTTAATTAAAAATGTAATACTTCTTATTTTGTGACAGGGAAAAGAACTCATCTACTTTGCCTCCTATCATTTCAAAGAACAATTAAAGTGAATTCTCTATTTATCTATATCACTTGTCTCATTTGAAGAATTGGTCCATTTAAACCTTCCAAGGGGTAAAAATGGAAAGCAACATTAATACATCTATCCAGTGTTATAGAGTTAGATCAATATCTTATTTTATGTTAAGAGGTTTAAGTACTAAAACGTATCCTTATATAGGAATACAAGTTACCTAGTTTTCCCTTCCAGGAACACCAGCACAAGAGTGATGAGCTGGCTCTTGTAATAATATTTATGATTATCATTATATGAGAAGGAAGAGTTATTTCCTTAAAAGTACTGGTGACTATCAAACAAGACCATTTTTTAAAATACCAAACTGTGTGTAGGGGAGTTGTCTCAAACAAAGCTTATAATATTAAGCCAAGCTGTAACAAAAAAGTCCAAAAATATTTTACTTAGGTTTTTTTAATCCAATAAATTAAAATCTAAAAAACTTAGTTTCATTTTTTCCCAATCTACTTTTAATTAGAGTGTGCATGAGTGTGTGTATGTCTGACAAGGTAGAACTGACAGGAACTGTGATTTGTGCTAACTAGCTATTGATCCAGTCTGATCTAGATGTTGTGTACAAGAAACAATAAAAGAGAAGGGGCCAGGAAGGATGCTGTGTGCAACTCCATTTAAAAATGGAAAGAAGGGCCCCAAACAAACCAATTTATGTCCTTGCCTGGGCGAAGCATGGAGAATGCTGATGGGTTTCCTAGAGTCTGCTGTGCATGCTAAGCACTCCAGCTTCAAATGAGAGTCTCCAGTGCTAGGCATTAAACATGAACAAAGAGACAAACAGTGGGGGCTAGCATTCATGCTTCAGAAAACGAAAGCTGGAAAGCCCACCAGAACTGGAAGTAGGAAGTTATGGAGTTTTCAAACCACCCAAACTCCATTTTCATTTTAATAACATCTCTCTTTACCTAAATTCCAATGTCAATCAAGGGTACTACAAAAAGCAGCTCTTAAGAGGAGACAGCAAAAATAGATCTGAACCAGCCTAACGTTAGTAAAATGAATCATCAACATAAAATACATGATACATATATGTGTGTACATGATATAAAATATACACACACACGTGTATACACAATTTTACACATATAGTATGTGGGGGAAGGGTGTACACACACACGCGCACACACACACACACCCTTAAGTCAGTGAGCTTAGAAAAAATGGCTTTGATAAAATGGAAATTATTAAAACTGAAATCATCTTTGTTAAGGAGCTTTTATAACTAAAACTGTTTTCCACCCATGTATTTTTTTCCATTTTAGAATTATAATGCCCTCTAGATAATAAAGAAAATGAATAAAGAATGAAAACTAAATGTTGATATTAAACATCAACTAAGCATGTTTTTATATTAAACACTGAGCCTGATTTTATATTTTCTTTATGTTAACAATGGTAGAAACTTCTTAACTCAGCACCACATCTTTTAAAAGATAAACAGGAAAATACTTAAACACTATGCAACACATTTTTGCTGGATTCACCAAAACCCTTATAATACAGAATATATATATATATGGCAATGTTTAAACATTGCACAGCAGGAAGTTCTCTTCTGTCAATATATGTATTTCTGCAAATTAAACTGAGAACCCCATCTGAACACTTGCCATGTATATTTAAAACTTTCCCTGCTTAATTAATCCAATATGAAAAAATTAGTTGAGTTCACCCATGTTAACACAGAAATTACATGGCTTAAAATACTGCCTAATTGAAATTAGAATTAATGTGTTATGGGCACAAACAAGTTACGATTTTAAAACCATCATCCTAAACGCTGTAAAGAAACCGACTGTCTGCTGCTTCTACAGTAAGAGTTCCGTTAGTTTTAAGTAGCAAAGAGCCACTATTCATTTAGCCAATGAAGTTCTAAGCGTGTAGGTTTATAGGGGAGGGGCGGTGTTTTGTTCCTACTCTGAGATGTGGATTCCATTCACCCAAACCGGCAAAGGTTCCCTAAATCACTGATCACCTACCTAACCGACCGGTAACTCCCCTGTTAAATTCCCGACCAAACCGATTTCCTCTTTCGAGTTCACAGGGGAACAATTGTTCCTTTGTGTGTGAAGGGATGCCCAACCTAGTCTTGGAAAGCAACAATCCAAGCACACTGCTGTCAGCAATGCATTTCCTATTAGCAGGTCCCTACGCAAGAGACAGGGGTGTATATAGGGTGCTGTAGACATAGAGAGGTGACAATCCTAACACCTCTTTACCAGCCCCGATTAGGTAATTACATGTTGGTATATACAAGAGTTCTTCGAGAAATAATGGGTGCCGAAAGCCTGTTTGTTTTAATTAGAAACTGACCTGCTCGGGATGGTTGAAAATCTGCAAACCAACAGGACAGACGGCCCACCTGACTCAACCTCCAACACCCCCCCCAAGGCATTCCACGGGGAGGAGGGGACCCCCCAGCACCCCTCGTGCCCCTTATAGGACACTAAGTCAAGCAACGTGAGTGGCCTGTGCCGGAGGAAGGTTCCCCCCAAGCATTACGATCAGGCAAACTTTTTAAGAGACCAACGCGTGCCACCAACCTACATTCACGCCCATAAAGGGATCAGAAATAGATACCTTCTTTGCTGGGATTCTGAGGCTTTGACTTCTCCCACGGTGCCATAGGTTTGTCCTCCTCTTGTCCCTCCATCAAGGACTTCTCGCTAGGCATGTACCAGGTAGAGTTATGCTCTGCCATCAGAGAGTCCAGGTCTATCGTGCTCATGGCACCTTTGACGTTATCCGAGCAACAACTGTTCAAGTCGCCCTCCCCGTTCTGGCTGGGGCACTCGGCCTTTTTGCTCTTCATGCCCAGCGGCTGGTCTTCGGAGATGCTGAACTGCTGCCGCTGGAGCTGGATCTGCGCTTGCAGGATCTCCAGCGGGTGGATCTCGTCCTGGGCCGAGGTGCTGGTGGGGGTGCGCACCTGCTCCAGGCCCGGAGTGCCCGGGTGGGCGCCGCCGCCGCCGCCGCCCAGCCCGTAGCTGTCCGGGGCGGGGACCGGGGCCGGGGCCGGGGCCGCGCCGCCCAGCAGGCCCAGGCCCAGGCCCAGCGGCTTCTGGCCGCCCAGCAGCGCGTGCTCCGCCCGCGGCAGCTTGGGGGAGCCGCCCAGCAGCGGGCTGCGCGTGGGCTTGGCCAGGGCGCTGTCGGAGCTGGACGACACCTCGTCCTCGTGGCCGTAGGCGGGGCTGGGCTCGTCGGGGAAGTCCCCGCGCGGGGAGCCGCCGTCCGACTTGCTGGCGCTCTGGATGCCGCTGTCCAGCGAGGCCATGAGGTCGGGCTGCTCGGCCAGCAGCAGCTCGCCGCCCTTGGCCCAGGAGGGCGAGGTCAGCGGCTTGTCGGGCGGGCCCGGGCTGGCGGCGGCGCCCTCGGCCGGCGG